GTGCAGTACAGCCCCGCAAAGAAAAATCAGTCGATGGCGGTTTACTGACTGGTCGGCAGACCGCCGACCCGTCGGCCCTATTGGTAGGCTGCAAAACGGCCGGTGGTCGGGGTAGGCTGTCAGCAGGTATGCAACCCCATGAGAAACTGGTATTTTGCAGCCTGGTTTCCAATGTGTGAAAGAAGCGAATTGTTGAGCACACGTAACCAGGCCTGAGCAAATCAATGACAGGCAAGAGGCAGGAACGCTGATACCGAGTCGGGCCCATCGGTCCAAAATTGGAAGCTATGATGCAGTTGCAAAGCGATATCATGGTCCCAAGTGCCTCTGGGACCAGTACGTGCATCTCTTGTATAGTGCGCCATCAAGCCTGGGCCCAGGGTTTTCTGTCCTTGGAGGGGGAGGAGGGGGAGAAGATGCTTTGTGGGGATAGGGAGGGAGGGAGGGAGGGACTCACCCTCCCTCTGGTGGCATCTCTCTTGATCTTTCTCTGACAAAGACGGATAAACCTCCCCGCACTCCCAAGCAACACCCTTTTATCTGCTGACCAAGTGGAATGGTTAACACCAATTTCACAAACCAAGTGTCATAGAATCTCACTCACACAATTGGAGAGTGAACGAGGTTGCGAAACTGAAATGGTATCTGAGGTAATTAGGATGGGATATAGGAGATCAACGAAATATTCACAGAGGTCAAGAAACCCAAAAATGCCCATGGACATCCGGTGCATCTTAAACCTGTGCGTTACTGTGCCAGTAGCTGGGTAGGAAGGGTGGGTTCAGGCTCCACAGATGCGCTCCGAGGCAACCTGGCCAGGTTCAGGCTCCAATATTATTATCAATATACAAGAATGTTCGTCTCCAGGAGCTCTGCCGCACACACACACACAAAGGATCTCAACCAGATAGCGGATATGACTTCTCCACTCTTCTCTCTCTCGCTGAATTGACTCGCTCTGCCTCTCTCTTTCTCTTTTCTCTCTCTCTCTCTACCCTAGACCGCCGTCCTTCTGCTCTACCGCTAGCCTAGCTATAGAGTATCTCTCAAGCGCCCTCTTCTTCTTTGGGCGCACAGCGCCCAAGTTGCATTAACCCACAGGCAGCATCAGCGCTTCCGCATTTCGTAACTGGACTAGTGATGAGCCGCTGCACTGTAGCAGCTAAATATAGGACTTGGCTTGGCTTGGCTTGGCTTGGCTTGGCTTGGCTTGACCTGCTTGGCTTGGCTTGGCTTGGCTTGGCTTGACCTGCTTCAGACTGGTACCGGTCGGCCGCGGCCTGTCCGCTGCAAACATTTTGTCGGTCCGGTAGCTTCCGGACTTTCCTTGGACATGCTGCAAAAGCACTTGGGGCTGTCGCACTGGATTGGACGCTTCTGGACTTTTCTTGTCGGGTACCGGACGGATTCTTACCGACTTACAACGCTTCGGTACCGACACTTACCGAGCTATGACGCTTCGACCTCTGACTTGGGACATGTCGGGACCCTTAGACAGGGACTGGGTGTCTGCAGCGTGAATCCTTTCATTCAGGTGTATGCCTTTAAAGTTTAACTTTCTAATCACCACTATATGTTTCCTAGCCATTCTTTCGGAGTTGCGGTGTGCATGCAGGGGTTACTCTTGGGAAGTACCGAGGCGCCATTTTGCCTGGCAGGATATCCATCCAGGTAAAACAGGCCTCACATGCGACCCATTTTGCCTGGATGGATATATCCAGGGAAACGACACTGCTGTACGTCCCGAGAGTCACAGATGCATACACTGTGTGGGAAATATTGTGGTGAAACCAGTTCATGACGGGCAATCACATGAAGAATTTTCAAATATTTGATGAACGGAAATGGCTGCAAGCACCAACGGGCCTAGCTCAGTTGGTACACCCTTGAACTGTTGAAATACAGACCTAAGTTCCAATTCGGATTTGAACTGGCTGCCGGCAGGCCAGTGCATTTTCATGTCGGCTGCAAACTTAGGAATGGGGGGTTGCAAACTGGTGATTTGGAGCCTATTTATAGCCATCCCAAAACCTCGCCCTGGATAACCAATCACCAATTTGAAGATAAGGCTGGATTATGACTGCTCGGACAGAGCTCAATCCTGGCTCGGACTGATAGTTTCTGCTTTTTACATCCCTTTTGCTGCGCCCCGTTTTTCTCTTATCAGTTGGTACGTGCACTCTTGTTTTATTTGTTGCTTCTGTGGTTTCCATATCAAGATCAAGGTGTTTTTGCGATGCAGTTCATGCAATGTCCCCATTGGTTTTACAGAGGTGTCTTTCTGGCAAAGTTATGTGATTTGATCTTCAACTTCCCAAAATATCTCATGCCTCATAGAGGTGATGCGAACAGGGATCAGTCTCTCATCTTGTTGATTTTGTTTATAGACTAGTTTCGACAGAGGAATCTCTTCCCTTCCCTTCTGTTTTCAGGGAGAATGAAATGGACAGCTTGGCTACGAGGAGAATTAAGGTCTTCAATGGTTCAGCGTCGACGTGTTTCTTTCACCGCCTGTCAAGGGTTTTGATTTTGGTGTCCGTGATCTGTCGGCCATGAACATCGCAAATGTCCATATGTCGTTTCCGTTGTCCTTTCACCATTTTTGGGGAGAAGAGTTGTGAGTTGCAAAAAGACTGGTGTTTGCGAATGAGATGTGGTGTTTCTTTGAGATGCAATGTCGATAAAGGACAGTCGATGGGAAATTGAAGCAGTCGCTGACCACATTTCTTCGATGAGGCATACTGCTGGTTACCATTAGGAAAAGAAAAAAAAAAAGAAAAAGAAAAAGACTCAAAAAGCATTATTGTTGCTGTTTCGTTGTTTGATTTCCCAGTTCCGGGCTACATTGGAATGCCAGTCGGTTGTCCCAAGGATTTAACCCGGGTCAGTTTGTGGGCATTACAGAACGTTCTTGATTCAAGGGGGTTCACCTTTTCGGCAAACTATGGAGCTTCTGTTCGGCCTTCTCTCGCCAGCTCTCTACCGCCAGGTTTGCGTCACACTTGTCTATACTTCCTTTGTCGTAGTTTATGTCACATGTTGACTTGCAGCCAAGTTGTTAACAACACCCTTTTGCTAGGACGCTGCATTTTGTTTACCGTTTTGCCACGACTCTGCATTAGGCAGGTGCTTGCCATCCTCACAAAGGTTTACCCGTACTTCGGCTCTCCTTGACGAAAAGTGGCGTACACCTAGGCTTTTTTCCCCGTTGCCCAGGCACCGAACTTGTGCCTGGATACACACCCAGGTGCACAGGCGGGCATCACCCCCGCGCAGCCCGAGCACAAAAAAATAAAAAATGCAAGGAAAATGAGTGATAGCGAAAAGTTGCATTCGTTGACATTCTGATTTCTGTCATTTCGCTATCACTCATTTTCCTTGCATTTTTGTGCATACTCTGAATGTCAACGAGTGCATACTCTCGCCACCACCAACATACGTATCCAGAGTCCTTTCCCCTTCGCGCTCAGCGCCCAGACTACTACTACATAGCTACTAGCAACCTACAAATTGACAATGCAGCCCGTTGACATCAGCAGCAGAACTGAGG